GCACCCGCTCCCCAGACAGGCACGCAGCCGATGCGCGGCAGCGCGCTGTGCCCCCAGGCGCGCACACGCTGCGCGCCCCGGAACACCCCTGGGGGTGCTGGGTCCAGCCCAGAAAATCCTTCCAGCTCTGTGACTCCCGCGGTGCCACAGCCCGAGCCCGGTCCGCAGCAGCCCAAAGCCCCGGGCGGCTGCGCGGCCCCGCGGTGCTCCGGGACCCGCGCCGCGCCCGCGGTGGCTGCAGCCAGAGATCAAACGCCTTTGACCGGACAGGAACGGGGTGGTCAAGCGCTTTACAGATATTTTAGCTTCTTCTATGTCAATAACGTCTTGCTAACAGTTCAAATAGAGAAATTATTAGTTTTCTCTCTGCGAGGCGGTCTTGAGTTAGAGTCTATTAAAATTGTACATTTGAAAATGTTAATCTAAATACAGGCCTAATTAATTCTGCCTTGTTGCTGACAAGTAGTTAATCAAATATCTGATTCGAAGATTTTCATAATGAGGATATTAATTAAACTATGAATAATCCAAAGGTGCTTATATTGAAACAATACCTCATTACAATTATTAAGTCCTGATTTCGAATATTATACCTTTAACAATTGTCACCCCGCAAACACAACCTTATGGATGAGCCTGTAAATGGCAAAATGTGATTTTAGGATATATATTTTTTTGTCCTTGTTGGAGAAAAAAAAAACCAACCTGCCCCTCATTTTCAAACACTTCTGAAATAGGTTACACACAGCTTAATGATGATCAAAATGACTCTTTTCTGAAAAAAAAAAAAAAAAAAAGACCCCAAAGTGCGCGTACAGCTGCAAACCCAAGAGGGTCAGCATCATTTCACTGTATTCTCTTCTTGATTACAAGCCGAGCCCATCAAACACAACATAATTACAGTAATTTCAGGTTTATTTATTCTAATGCAGTTTCCCCATCTCTCTGGTAATTATGAGCAATTTTTTCGCCCAGGGAATCTTTTTGCATTAACAAAAGAGATAACGCACTGAAAGCCAAATTTGCTGTGCATTGAGAAAAGCGAAGAAAAAAAAAAATAAAATAGGTGCGAGCTGCCATCTCTGCAATTCTCCTATATTGGAGCTCTGCAAATTGCTTGCAGGTGTATGGAGCAGAGCTGTCAATAGGAAGGGGCTTCCAAATTAGCAAATGCACAATGTTGAAGTAATGAAGACAGACTTAGCAAAATTGCCAAACAACAGATACCTCTTTAATATCTTCCACCAAAAAAGAAAAAAGAAAAAAGAAAAAAATATCTTTGGAGTGTTCCTGCGAACCCCCTCGAATGGCTGGGGATGTTGTCTATGTGTCAATCTAATTGCAGAGCACAGAGCGGCCCCTGGAACTAGAAAAAAAAAAAAAATAAAAAATCAGAGCCCAAGCCCGCTTGCATTCCGAACTTGCTCCTTTCGTTTGACAGAGGGGGACAAGAAATCCCCGCCACCGCCCGCTCTGCTCCCCGCGCCGCCGGACCCGCTCCCGCCACCGCCGCCGAAAAAGAGCCATGTCCCCCCCGA